CACGGCTAACCCACAGATCAAACCCTGAAACAACCTCTTGGCTGATCTAAGTCAGGGCATGGCTAACTCACAGATTGAACCCGGAAACAACCTCTGGGCTGATCTAAGTCAGGACAAGGCTAACTCAAAGATTGAATTGGAATTTATCCTGTGGTTTTGTGGAAGGGGAAGAAAAACCCTAAATACCCAGAGGTGAGTGATTCAACTGTGAAAGAGTGTGACAATGGTAACAGCGCGAGGGTCAAGGCTAGTTGACAGCCCAAAGATCGAATAAAAATTTGGGAGTTGATTTTAGGGAGGGATGAAAACCGGAGATACCAGTAAAAAAAAACTAAAAGCGCAAAATAAAGTGAACCAAAATGCATCGCCGAATGCGATAGGCAAAACGCAATAGAAGATAGGACTTGTGTTTCTGTTTCTTATTCTCGTCAAGAACAAGGACCTTAGCACGTTATTTCCATATTAGAATGACCTTTCCGCACATTTTGTCTTTGGCGATGACAACGTTTTTTAAAAATAGGTGTATACGACCACAGCAACATGTTAAGAACAGCTGTCAAGTCATTCATATGCTATCAAGAGAAAAACGAAAATGATTATTTTCTCTTAATGCTATTCATGAGAATGTTTACTCAACCGATGCAAAAAATTCTTCGTATTTTTCGTGTACTTTTCCCCAAAGTTCATGACCTTTGACCTTCTTAAACCAGGCTGAAACACGCGGCCACAAGCCAATATCGAATTACATCCAGCCACTCACACTGGCAAAGAATAGTAGGCAGATTAAGATTCCCAATTTTTCTTCCCGCAAACGGCAAACGTGACCACGTTTTCATCGTTTCCCTACATTTCACTTTACCTTTTGCAAACCTTCTCGACAAAGACAAGTATTCTTTTGTTTATCTACTAGATTTTTGCGATTCCTTTTCACTAATTTTAAAGAATTTTTGAATGGTCAACTGACGTTTCACGTTTGCCGTAAACGAGAATCTTAAACTCTCTAGTAGCAGCAACACCGCCCGTGAATCATGCAGATTTTCTCGCAATTCCGCCCGTGTTTTAGCCTTTACTACACAACTACAATACAAGCACGTACTCGCCTTCATTAAGACTTCACAAATAGTATTCAATTTGTATTTTTTAATCAGAGAAAAGCAACTAATTTCAATTCGCACCATTGTTAAGAACTGCGGATTAGCACGATGCACGAAACATTTAGATAGGCACGTATGGACCATTACAGCACCTATAGGTCGTAAGGGGAGATAGATGGCTAATGATGGCCAAGTAGAGGAAATGAAATACGAAGTAAGATGGAATATGATCCTTCTTATCGCTAAAATTTTCCCAGATTTATCGCTAAACTCAAAACACTTGATTTCAAACTGTTGAGTTCTTATCTCATAATGTCATCAAATCAGCTTTTCTTTGATTTTTATTCTCTTGACTTTATGAGAGTATTTTTTCTTTTTTATCTCATAAGCAGACTTTTACTTTCTCTTCAGTTAATGAGTTGTTTTTATTTCATCCACTTGTTTGTTCATTATATCTTAAGATTTTCTGTTGGATATAACACTTAATTTTAAATCTTAATTTTTTCGATAGTTATCACCAGTTTCTAATTTTCTCTCTCTTTCAATACCCACGTTCATTCTATTCTCATCCGTGTAGAATAATTTTCATCTATTCTTATCACATCTAATGATTTCCTTTCGATTTCCCCCTACCTTTAAAGAGTATTCATTTGACAATCTTAGATTCATGCAATTTCGTATGTCTTTTCTTCATGAAAGCGCATTCTAGAAAAGTCTCTCCTTCTCCTTTCGTGCCGGCCGTAATTCATTAACCTGCATCTACCTAGACTATATTAACTGGTTTCCTTTCATGAAGCCTAGTTAACTATACACAATAATTTTGATTATTCTGGTTACTTCCTAATAGTGCACGTTACTCATAAGTGATTCTCTGTTCAAAGACACCGATCCCGGCTTTGATCATTGAATAATCGGTAGTTTTCCCAATGGACGATAGACGGTCCGACAAACAAACTCGAGTTCAGAAGGTTTATTTTAGGAATAATCGATTTTTTTTTTGAATGCATTTATTTTTAAGACAAACATTAACGAATTTTTGTTGAAAAGGAGACTTTTCCATGTTTTATATCCAAAATACAATTCAGCTTGTCCGACCTAGCAAGAGTAATGCACTACTCAATTGACCACACCCCCTATTTATTAGCTTTTTTCCCCGACCGGAGAAAGACTTGCTGTTAAGACTGTTGAAGTGATTGGTGTTAAAATTGTTAATGTTAAAGAACCCGTATCTTCGTGCACTCACGCTGCCGTTAAATGTGCGTCAAAACCCCGGTATCGACGCGTAAAATCCCTTCCCCGACACGGTTCAGGGAAATAATTTGACTAGCGCATAACTGGGGAGGTAGAACGATGAATCGCAAATACAAATGTCGCTGAAAACTAGTTTAAAGAAAAACATTCGTTTTGAGGCCTTCTTTTGGGAAAAAGTTAAGTCTGTTGGATAATAAATGACTTATTAGACATCTTAATATTATATTTTTGATATCCACCGGTTAAGTATAAGATATATATAAGATGTTATTTGTCGAATGGAAAACCTCGAGGAACTGTTGAAATATTCTCTGATTGGCTATTTTCCCACACGTAGACAAAGCTGCCTAACGTTGCACTGAAATGGTTTCCATTTTTTATTGGATGGCATGCGATGATTGGCTTAAAGCGAAAACCATTTCAAAGTCAAAAAACGTTCACCATTTCTGTTTTGTTTTCTCTGATTTAAATGGCATTTTACGCGAGAAGACTAAATTGGAAATTTAAACTGCTTGATAGTTTGATCTCCATTTAAAGCATATGTGGCACATTAGAGGTGAGAAAGAATTAATCCAGCCGGAAAGTTAAGCGAGATGCAGTAGATTTTCTTTATTAGTTTCTGAAAGAATAAGTGTTTATTTGTGCCGGAAAACCGCGGGTTGAATCGAGCGAGTTTCATCATGGAAATGGGCTCAAGATATTATTATTTACATAAGGTTGTGCTGCAAAATTAGATATCGGTTAAAGAATAGCGAAATGAAACCATATGAGAGTAAAGAAAGAAAGGAAGGAAGAAAGGAAGAAAAAAACAAACAAAACAAAACAAAACAAAAACAAAAACAACAACAACAAAAAACAACAACAACAACAACAAAACCTATTAAAAAAACCCTAACAAAATAAATAAATAAAAACAACAACAAAAAACAATTTAAAAAAAATGTAGAATAGAGAAACGCATTCGAACATACTTAGGAAGTGTATGCCGAGAAAATCCAGAGAGATAAAAAAGGAATAATAATAATGAACATCTCTAGATTTAAGAAAAACCAACAATTAACGTGCAGACGATAAGGAAAGATGAAAAATTAAAACATTAAAGAAAAACTAAATAAATAAAAAATAAAACATGAACTGGAAATGAGATATTTGTGATAAGCAGAATTTTGATGATATGAAATATAAATAAGAAGTGTAAATTGAATGAGATATAATTAAAGGAAAGCAGAAAAAGAGATTTAATGAGAAATAGTGTACTAGAAAAGAAAGGCTAAAAGATTGATTTTATATTTAGGCTTTAAATTAACTCCACCGAGTTGGAGTTGAAAACAGGATATAAAGAAAATATAAGAATAAAAGGAATAAGAGATTAGTAAACACGGGAATATTTATTCTGAAAGACCTTGATACAATAATAATAACAGAAGCCTCTACGTCCCTAAAAAGCTGAAGGGCAAAAAGACTGAAATATGTATCCTTAAATCAAATATTTTGTAAGTCATAATATTTGAAATTTTCAAATGGCACATTGGAAATGAAATAGTTATATTATAATTTATTCATTTGTGCCATCCATGCAGTTGGTTTAGAATGCCAAACGCGTATTAAAAACAGTGGATGATTCCACGGGTCGCCGGTCACAGCATGCATCTAATTAACGTACTTCCCATGTACCATTTCGGACTCAGCTTCTATGTTCTATGTTCTGAACCCGACAACGATTCTTCAATTGAGAAGAAAATACTTTTTGCTCAACAAACATAATAATTTTTTCAAAAGCAAAAATCTATTATCCGCTAATCGATATTTTTGGCCGCAAACCAAACGATCTGTTTTTATTTTACCGACAAAAAAACCTTGATTTAAGATATTTTTGTAAGCATGAATTGTTTTTAAGAATTACCGTCGAAGATATAATAATAATATTCATACCGACGAATATGAATATTTTTTTACGTGACTGAAGCGAATCTTATCATGCTCGTTAGCTTACTTTCCAATCCCAAAATGATACTACAATCTTTGAGCTTAATTTTTACTTTTTCAAAACCCTAATTGAAAGATAAGACTAAGTTATTTTGATTCTTACACGAAGATTTGACAGCGATAGGAACCGTCTAGAAAATTGAAAATAGTGTTAGTCAATATATTATTCGTGCCTTAAAAAAGGCCGAAAGCTTCTGGTGCAAAGTCGTAAATCAAGTTTGTGATCTGTTCTCGTTTGAATCGTTCCTATCTTTGCTTGTGGGAGAAGTAAATTGTTTGAAAAGTATAGCGTTTTCCGCAGAAACCATTTCATGAAAAATTCAAGAATTCTTAAACTGAAACACGTTATGTATGAAGATTGTTTTTGGTAAAGAGGGCTTGTTTCGATTCTTTCCGTAACGGCTTTAATCCCCATTAACTACTAAAGTTCTGTGTTTTTTAACTGAAACACGTTATGTATGAAGATTATTTTTGGTAAAGAGGGCTCGCTTCGATTCTTTCCATAACCTYWAATCCCCATTAACTACTAAAGTTCTGTGTTTGTTTTTTAACTGAAACACGTTATGTATGAAGATTATTTTTGGTAAAGAGGGCTCGCTTCGATTCTTTCCATAACCTTAAATCCCCATTAACTACTAAAGTTCTGTTTTTTCCCCTTAAATTGTTCAGCAGCGCTTAAAGTTTTGTTGTTAACTCTACAATATTGGTCGTCATTAAGAACCATAGTGGAGAGGCGGTCTCGTCACGACTAAATCAAAAATTGAATCACCTATTCCTACGAAGGTAATGTTCTAGTAAGGTAAAGTCTAGTTAAGGTTTTTCCAGAAGTATCCTTTGTGTTATATAATAGAATGTCTCTTTAGTCCTTATTGACTTAAAGTGCAAATGAACCCTTCGACAATACTTTCAGTACTGATTCTACACGAAGTAAATAGTTGAATGGTAAAATATTTCTTGATTTGAGTGATGCGTTTCTAAGCTATGAAGGTTTATACTTTCAATATGCTAATGAGCGTGACGTCTATTAAGGCTTATAATCAAATATACAAAATCAAACTGGTTCATAGATACAGTATTTAA